ATACATATGTATTTTTAACATTTCAACAGTTTTGCATTGTAGATGTTTAACACATTATCTTTACAGTATGGGTGGCAATTAATGAACGAACGCAACCTAAAAGTACAGTGGTGTAGCATCAGAAAATGGTTGTTAAATCTCAGCTACCAAGCTGTTGAAATGTTACAAATACTTATAATATAAAATACCCATGGGTGGACTTTGGAGTTTAGAAATTAGACTTTTTTTTTTTTTTTCACAAATAATAATAACATTTATTTTCCAATTTTACCCACCAGTGGGATATGAAAGGGTCCGATGACAGTAGCTATAGCCATGCAAGGAGAGGAAGAGCTCTCTCCCATAATGGCTTGCACTTGGACAGGTTTAGTACATTGTTCTTTGGAGGGTGCAAATACCACTTCATTACCATTAGCCAAGGCCAGTGCAACCCTCACACTTCTGGCAATGGAGCCACAGACGTCATAGATCTTATAGCCCAGAGAGATTCCAGGCAGTAGGTCTGTGCTGTTATTAATCTCTTCTATTGCAAATAGCATAGCCTGGGCAAACTGGAAATCTCTGAAATTCAAACTTTATGCAGACAGTTACAAATAGTTAGTTTGCAAACTTAGTTTGTGTAGAAACAATAACACAATAAAAGAAAGCATTTGATGGCATTAAATAAGCAATATTATTATATTTGAAACCGAAATAGATTGCTATGTTACAATTTACCTGGTGCATTGTAGTGGCAGTGGTTTGTGCATGTAGGTGTCCTGTCTGTCTTTCCAGCTGCTGTGCAAAGAGAATATTCCCCCAAACATAATGTCCCCATCCTTGGATAGCTGGGGTTTCTCAAGATCCCCTCTCCGCCTGCACACCGGCTCCTCAGCCTGAGAGAAAGACACAACCAACAACACCTGTAAGAGTGCCCAACCAATCCCTGGACACCTCTGTGTGAATGTCATGCTGTCTAAGAGTGTGAAACCATGATACACATGGCATTACATGAAAATTGAAAGCTTGCACCGACCTTTATACATGTTGGAGCAGCATAAAAAATAATAATTGAACAGTTTTATCTCTGTGGACGTATCAGGTGGTGAAAATAATTTTGTGCCACAGCGTATTTTAAACATCTTACAGTGTGTAGGATTTATTGCCATCTAGCGGTGTAGTTGCTGATTGCAACTCAGTCACTTCATCCACCCTTTTCAAGTGCAAATGCAAGAGAGAAACTACAGTGTTTACGGTGTACATGTAAATGACTCTTTCTAAGATAACAAAAACTTGATTCTAATGTTCAGGTGACTATATGCTAATGAAAACATACCTATACATATTATATTCCAGTTCTGGCAAAATATCCTCCTAAATGTTTAACACTGGACCTGTATCTGCATATCAGATAGGATAGATATCTTTCTTGGGCCAAATTAATTGCATTTTTGCTGGCTTCAACATGCTCCATAACTCATGGAACGGTGCACGTCAGCTGTGGCGAAAATATACTTGTCATATGAGTCATGGAGTGGCAAAATGGCTTGATAGTGCCCCCTAAACAGCAGCCGTTGTGGCACGTTTCATAATTTTTCATACATATTGGTACACATTTATCACATCCTAACTTACAAAAAAGCCTTTTGGGGCCATACTCCACACCCAACAGTAAGTCATTAATTTAGTGGTCTTTTTTTTTTTTTTACATGAACGTGTTGTAATTTAACAATCTCCTTCTAGGGAATTGATCTAATCAACTTAAATTTGTGTTTGTGGAATCTAAAGACCTTCAGAATGAAAAGTTTTGCAGGAGTTTTCGTTGAACAGATTTCTCATGGCGTGGCGTCCAATGTCAACATTTTGCCATAAAACAGTTAGTTGTCGTAACTTCAGCATACTTTGTCCAATTTGGCCCAAATTTCACGTATGATAACAGTCTTGCCCTGAACACATCTACATGCCAACATTCAGTTAAAGCGCCCCCTACTGGCAACAGGAAGTGTCTGTGTGTCCAATGTTTTATACTCTCGTGTACTACTCCAAGCAGGTTGACCAGGTCCAGCAGCAATTCAGTCAGAAGACCCTTAAGACATAAATGATATGTTAGAAATCTTGTGAGTTTTTCTTGAACCCTGTTGTTGTCACACTGCCCTTTGTTAACTGAAAGGATGCCTCAAGTAACAATGTCACCATCTTAGGCCAATTCAGCTGGTTGTGCTGAGCCTTGCACACAGAGTTTCCCCTCCTTAGTAGCAGAACCAAGAATTGCAGCTTCAGTAATGGCATAGCAATGAACCTCATAGACCGGAGGAAACAAGCTTGTCAAGTTAAAATAAATTGAACAAGGTTTTTTGTCTGTGAAACGCATTGCATTTATTGTCGATTGTCAATTACAATTTTATAAACTCATTCTCTGTATATATGTATATATAGCACTTTCCAAAAAAGCAATTCTGAAGTGCTTCACAGTTAACAAAATCAGATAATCAGCAATAAAAGCAATAGAAAAACAATGCATAATGGTACTCATAGATGCATAGTATAAGCGAGTAAGAATGCATTTTAAAACGAAAGCAGATACTAATTTAAAAGTAGTGTAAACAACAAAACAAAACCTCAACAAAGGGGGTTTTTAAAATATAGACTCAGCTTACTTGACAATGAGGGGGAGGCAATTACATAGTGTTGGAGCAAACAGTAAAAGCATAGTCCCCCTTTGTTGTGAGCTTAGACAATGGGACATTTAAGATTGGCCTATAGATCTGAGTAAGTGTTGTGTTATAAAATCAGAAATAATAGAAGTGGAAGGCTTTGAATGTGATGAGGAGGATCTTGAACTGAATTCTGAAGCATACAGGAGGCCAGTGTAAGTGTGCCAGAATGTGCTCTCTTCGTTTAGTATTAGTCAAAAAGCCTGCCGCATTCTGAACCAGAAAATTTGGAGTTACAGTAATTCAGGCAGGAGGAAAAAAGCATGAATGAATTGCTTTATGATATTATTAGGCAAGACTGAGCTGATTTTGCAATATTTCTGAGCTGCACAAAACAGGACTGAACTAATTTCTTAATGTGGCCATCAAAATTCAGCTTCATGGTTCAACACCATGATTTCAAGATGGTTTTATATTCTTTGCCTGAGATGAGGACGAATAGTCTTTGGAACATGGTCTGGTCCAATGACCAAGATTTCTGTTTTGTCTGTATTCAGCTGTAAAATATTCAGTGACGTCCAATCTTTGCAGCACGGCAGTGTATAGTATCAAGACTATTAAAGTTGTCAGAATTAAATGATAAATGAATCTAGGAGTAATTGGCATAACAATAATATAACTAAGAGGGAGCATATACAAGCTGAACAAGATGGGTACCAGGATTGACCCCTGTAAAACCCCGAACAACAAATGTGCCAACGATGAAGCAGATTCAAAAGGAAATTTAAAGATTGGTCTGTAAAGGAGTGTTGGAACAAGACCAGGTTTTTTTAAAAGTGGATGGATACAGGCTTGTTTAAAATTGTCTGTGAACAAACCAGAGGACAGAGACTCATACAATGGAAAGAAGACAAGGGGCAGTGACTTGTAATACCTCTTTGAAAAATGTGGGTGGTAAAATGTCAAGGCCACTGGAAGACAAGTGAAAGTGTGACACAATATCGAGCAGATTTTTCAGGGAGATTGGGGTAAATTCACAGAGCAATTTGGAGGAGGCATCTGGAGGGGGGCATATGGAGGCCTTCATAACCTGAACCTTTTCAACAAAATAAGCTAAAAACTTTAAACAGTAAAAGGAGTATGGTTTACAAGTCAATCAATGGCGTTGAACAGAACTCATGAGTTGTGCTTTTTTGTGCTTTTGAGGTTTGTACCTTATTCTCCTTTTCTGACTGATAAATTATAAGCAGATAATTATCTGTCTTTGCGTGTGTCATCATGGCTTTGACTGGTGCCTTGGCCTTGTCCTAATGGAAGCAACATGATAAAAAACTGATAAAGATCAAACTGATCAACCAGGTCGTTCACATCATAAAAGAGAAAACAAAGTAGAACTCATCAGCAGAGCTCTTATTAAAGGTCCAAGAGTTTAGTGTATGTTTGGGGAAGGACTAGCTACTTAAAGGGTAATATCAACCATGACAACTGTGTGGTCAAAGCTGAACTCTTTTGGGTTAAGAATTAATAAATAAACCCATAATAAAAACTAAATCTAGAGCGTGTTCTATATTGCGGTAAATGTTGCAATCTCAATATGCTATTTCACAAATCAAATAATATACAGTGAAAAAATATTACAGTAGCACTATGTAAGTCTTCAATAAAATGAAGATACAATAGATGTCTACTTAAAAGTCTGGTCAACAAATTAACATGTCAAATTATGAAAGCGGTTGAATGCTTTTGCCAACATATTATTGGCAAAATCCATATTGTAGTTTTCACAATGATTTAGGTGTCCCCTTCCCCATCATATTCCTTTTTGTATTCTTCTCTGGTTTCACTAAAATAATATAACATTTTGGAATAAAAATACAAATGAGCAGTCCAAAACTTGAAGCCAAAATAGCAAATATCTCCACAGCAACACTGAACTTCCCAGGAGAGCTGACATACGCTGGGATAAAAGTGATCCATACTGCACAGAATATCAGCATGCTGAAGGTGATAAATTTGGCTTCATTGAAATTATCAGGCAGTTTCCGAGCCAGAAAAGCAAGAATAAAACATAACATGGCCAGAACTCCGATGTACCCAAGTACAGCCCAAAAGCCTACAGCTGAGCCCAGAGCACACTCTAAGATGATTTTGTCATTGAACTTCTTAAAATTCTTAAATGGAATAGGAGGAGAAATTGATAACCAGAGGATACATATGATAACTTGTATAAGAGTGAAACCCAGAACACTGAGTTTCTGCTGTGCAGGCCCAAACCATTTCATCCAATTACTACCTGGAAGTGTGGCTCTGAAGGCCATTAACACCACTATTGTTTTCCCCAGAACACAAGAAATACAGAGGACAAAGGTGATGCCGAATGCGGTGTGTCGCAGCATGCAGGACCACTCAGAGGGCCGACCAATGAAGGTCAGAGAACACAGGAAACACAGACTCAAGGAGAAGAGCAGCAGGAAGCTCAGCTCAGAGTTGTTGGCTCTGACAATAGGAGTCTGTCTGTATCTGAAGAAAATGAATGCCACAACACCTGTCATGCATGTTCCAAACAGGGCAGCTGCAGTGAGCAGTGCTCCCATGATCTCTTCATATGATAGAAACTCTGCCTCTTTCTTTACACAGGCATCTCTTCTCTTATTTGACCAGAACTCAAGCTCGCATCTCATACAGGTGATAGAATCTGGAAGATAATATTGAAGCAGATGTTAGATTTGCTACGTACATTTCTCTCGATTTTGCATCTATGTAGCATCTTTTCATACTTGGAAGACATTATACCTACATTATCATTACCAGATAATAAATGGTTAACTGTACAATAATAAACTTTTTACATGACATCACTTTCCAAAACAAAGTTGTAAGTGCAAGATTGGTAGAAAAAAAATAACAATCACATAAAACAACACCTTTTGAGGTAGTGTTTGGCTCATATCAAAGCAATTCACAAATATAAGTTTGAGCTGAGAATTAGACTTTGATGGTATTCAGTAAAAATCTGTCAATTTCCAACTGATTTGTAACCAGTGAAGACAAGTGTATTACTGATTAGGGATGACTTACAATAATCTCTCTGAAATTAAATAAAAGCATGGATGACCTTCTCGAGATAAGGCCAAGAGAGAAAATACCTGATTTTATGGTTTCTCCTCAATTGATAAAAATATCATAACTGACTTTTGTAATTTGTTTTTCAAATTTAAGTTCACTGTCAAATATTATACCCATAGGGATAGACTTTGGATGACCAGAAAGAATAATCTCAGATTTGTTTTCATTTTGCTGGAGAAAGTTTTGGGACATCCAGCAATTTGTTTCTGACAGACAAGATAGTAACTGACAAAAACGCCTGCTTCGCTGGTTGTTAATGGGACTTAAATTTGAGTGTCATCCACATAACAAGGATACTGAATTTTGTATAGCACATTTCCTTGTGGCAGGATCTATACACAGAACAACATGAAACCAAGGATGGAGCCTTGGGAGACACCTCAGATCAGAGGGACCACAGAAGAGGAGGCATCAACGACCACTTGCAGTATCCCTAATGCCAATCTACTATTGGAACGTTTTTAGTCCACCAATAGATAGTTAATATTTTTTATTAGTTGAGATTAAACAACCGTTTTCTGATATTACACCAGTGTCATTAAAGTTTGGTTAGGTTTAGGCACAAAATGATCTTGGTCAGGAAAGAACAAAGCCAAACAGGTCAAATGTTACAATTCTCTATTAACTAGGTAGACAATCTAAATAAACTTATTTTTAAATTAAAAAAAAATTAAAAAAATTAAAAAATTAATTTAGAGAGTCCAGACTAGAGTTTAGATGGTGTTTTATGACGGCTACATGGTATCACAGTATCAGGATTTAGATCTCACAGGTGCAAGTACAAGATACAGTCCAGTTTCAATATGTATTATTGATTCATTTTTTCATTTCTTTTGCTCATTTTTCAGATATCAAAAACACCTTTATTTCCCCTCAATGCATTTAGTAGTAAGTAGGATGGGGTAGGAAAATATTGTCTGTTTTGTAATTTCAGTGTGCTGACCATTTAATGACATTGTTTTAGATATATATATATATATATATATATATATATATATATATATATAGTTTTTAAATAGTAATATTAATTTAATTAAGGAATTCATAATTAAAAATGCCTGACCTTATTACTTTTACTGGCTCTAGCTAATAATACCCTGCTGATGATAATGCATGCTAGAATCCCACCTTTGTCCTACCATGGATGTGAATAGGAATTGGCTCAAAACAATTCAGACTGCTCCAATCTTCCCAGAGATTTTCTCATATTAACATGACAATGAAACTGGAGTAATTTGAAATACCTTTGTGCATACATATCCAAGACTGTGCACAGGAATTTATGGAACCAATTTCATACATATCAGTATTTGTTGAGGACTTTTGGTGTAATAATATTTTGTTTTGGTTTGCTTAAAACCTTTTCAATAATGGCGTGTGAACATGACAACTTGTAGATTTCCGTTCTGTCCTGCACTAAATGTCACTACACCTGTAATGTTGCTGATTTCTCCCTCTGCACATTTCAAACAATCATAGCAGCAGATAGGCTTTCCTTTCTGTAGAACTTTGCGAGTTCCTGGGGGACATTTATCACTGCAAACTGACACTGGCACCTGCATGGACAAAATGACAATGAGAAAGAAATTATGGGCATTCACTTTGACAAGGTGTTTTTGCAAGTATATATTAATAATGTTGATCCATCAAACAAACAAAACATTCATGCAGTAACAATAGCTAATAACATACAGTTAAATTCAGATATACTTTCAATAACAATTACAGTGATCACATAGTATTTTACCTGTTGTGAGTTCTGTGCCCATATTAAAGACTTATTTTGCAGATTCAGCTGTTTGTCTGCAGGTAAAGATGTATCATAAAGACCAACTGTGACAAAGTCCACAATGCCATTTTCTGTTGGCTGCCAGTTTATAATTTCATACTTTGCGGCTGGGTCTCCATTTTCATTAAAGTAAACCTCATCTCCTTCCTTTGTTTTGAACTCAATCTTTTTTATGTGTTGTAAAATCTAAGATAAGAAATGCATCAATGTAGATCATCATCTTACAAACAAGTTGTAGTTCTATTGTCTCAACAGCATGATAGACAGACTACAATACATTTTCAAAATATATGCTTGGTTAATGTGACTTGTACAAAAACTATAATTTGCACTCACCGTAAAGGGATCTAGCTGCACCTTCTGGTTACATGTTTTATTACAGCTGAGCATACTATGAAGTCCATGGGCCACAGCATACACTCCTTTGTAAACATTGTAAAAGAGAGGCATGAGCGACATATCAGTGAAGATGTTTTGCACTCCACTCAGATCTTCATCTCCAGTACATTTACTCTGATTTTCTGCTGATGACTTTGACTGCTTGAACTTACAGCTGAATAATGTCTCCCAAAACTCTGTAAACAATTCATTACTTGATGAATTGAGTGGCTTCACATCTAAAATGAACTCTCTCATGCCACTGACATGTGCTTTGGGGATGGACAGGCCTATGGCACCATCCAGAATGTGATGCTTATCCATGGCTGCAGTTTGGAAATCAAAGATCCAGGCCTCTGTACCTACCCACTGATACCCAGTCAAGTTCTGGTTAGACATCTCCTGTATTATCACATACAACTCCGTGGGGGAGAGGAAAGTGACAATCACCTTTGAAGTGGAAGCCTTGATAATATTAACTATCTTTTTTGTTTTGTCTGGTGGATCCGACCTAAAGACAGATACAGAGTATTCCAGACAAATGCCCAGCTGCTGGGCAATTTCTGTGAAAGTGGCCATACCATTATTGCCATAATCATCATTTGTTCTTATAGCTCCAACCCAAGTCCAACCAAAGTGCTTGACCAACTGGGCCAGGGCTCTGCTCTGGTAGTAGTCACTGGGTATTGTTCTGAGGAAGGATGGGTACTTGGTTTTATCACTGAGACAAGCACAAGTAGCAAGGTGGCTGACCTAAAAAAAAAAAATAAACCTTCAGATAAGCATATCAAATATTAACATTTTCCCAGCACACAACAATTCTTGTAAAACCTGTATCAATATGACAAACAGGAAGACCTACAGAATAATTATTATTTTTTACAAAAATAATTTCATTTTTACCAATCTCACCCACCAGCGGGATATGAAAGGGTCCGATGACAGTAGCTATAGCCATGCAAGGAGAAGAAAAGGTTCCCCCCATAATGGCCTGCACTTGGGCAGGTCTGGTACATGGTGCTTCGGAGGGTGCAAATACCATCTCATTACCATTTGCCAAGGCCAGTGCGACAGTTACACCTCTGGCAATAAAGAGACAGTCATCATAGATCTGATAGCCCAGAGTGATGCCAGGCAGTAGGTCTGTGCTGTTATTAATCTCCTCTATGGCAAAGAGCATAGCCTGGGCATACTGAAACCCTCTGAAATTCAAACTTGAAACAGACAGTTATAAATAGTTAGAATTGTAAAAGAATTTGTCTTTGAAATATAAAGAATAGCATGTCAAATAAACACATTTTGATATAAACTTTAAATATTTCTTGTTTCAATACTTTGTTGAATATCCTTTTTAATAATTAGTTTTGTATCTCTACTCACTTCCTCTTTAGATGTTTGAAATGTAAATACATTTTTACAGAATAATTTACCTGGTGCATTCTAATGGCAGTGGTTTGTGCAGGTAGGTATCCTGTCTGGCTTTCCACCTGTTGTGGAGAGAGAAGATTCCCCCCACAATAATGTCCCCATCCTTAGATAGCTGGGGGTCCTCAAGATGCCCTATCCGCCTGCACACCGACTTCTCAGCCTGAGAGAAAGACACCACCACCAATAGTTGTAAAAGTGCCCAACCAATCCCTGGCCACCTCTGCGTGGACGTCATACTGTCTGAGAGAGCTACATTGAGTGGAATCACATGTACCTCAATGTAAATGAAAAGCTTGCACTGATATTTATTCATTTTGAAGCAGCATAAAAAATAATAATTAAACAGTGATGTTTTATCTCTGTGGACATACCACGTGTGTTGAGAGGAGGGAGATGGTGAATTTTAGGCCATTGCCTATTTTAAATATCTTATCTGATACAAAACATGTAAAAAAAAAAAATCCCTTTTATAAATTAACATTGGTCATTATGGTGGCACAATTTATGCATGTAAATCATCATCTTATGGCTATCGTGTGTAATTATTAATTAACTATTGTTTAGGTATACTGTATGTTGTAGTAGACCTGTCCACCTGTTTTGTTGTTGCAACACAGACCTCTTTTATGACTTCACGTAAAGGGAACAGGATAAACAAATGCAATTTAAACGTGTGCCAAATCTCAATAAAAGTAATTACCCAGGTTCTAAGAAA